CTTGATTATAATTGTTGGGGATTTTAGAGTGTGGTAAATTAAATTATTGACCGCATTCTTTCTCTCTCCCTGTATCTGCTGCTTTGCCCTTTGCCACTCACTCTAAAGCAAAGTGGCTTTACTTTGGTCAATGGGATGTAAACATATTTGAGGCATTTCAAATACTTGAAATGTATTCGAGGAGGAGGGCTTGCCCTCTTGTACCTCTGCTCTTCTGCTCTTCTTATGCAGAAAGCTTCCCTTGGTAGCTGCTGTTTCTTTTGCTGAGACCCCCGAGTGAACACATGCAGGCTGGACACTGTGGCTTTTGCCTGTAATCCCAGCACTTTGTAAGGCTAAGGTGGGTGGATCACTTGAGGTCAGGAGTGAGACCAGCCTGGCCACCATGGTGCAACCATCGCTACTAAACAGCAAACATTAGCTGGCCTGGTGGCACTTGGCAGGGAGGCTGAGGCACAAGACTCACTCGAATCTGTAAAACGGAGGCAACAGTGAGCCAAGATGGCACCACTGCACTCCAGCCTGGGCGACAGAGCGAGACTCTGTCTCAAAACAAACAAATGAACAGACAACACACAAGGGAGGAGAGCCTCACCATCTGACCCACACATCTAGAAGTGAAATAAATACTTATTACCAGATGCCACTGAAATTTTGTGTTTCTTTGTTATGCAGTGTTGTTGCAACAGTATTTTGGAGAATGAGACTTAAGTATATTTGTTCACTGGTTTCGTAATACTCACCCCTGAAATCACACAGCTCTCTTGAGTCAGTTGCAGCAGATTTGTCACACAGGGGCTGAGCCTGTTCCCTTGAAACAGGAGGAGAGCAGAATGGCTGTATGAATAAGCTGATCCCAAAGGCAGAGCTATGAGAAGTGGGGAGATATGTATATCCTCTTTCCACTCTTAGCTAATAATATCCATCTATTAAACAAAGTAATGCCTACTTTTCAGAGTTCTATATGGGTTTAATTAAGTCTATAAACAAAGCACGAATATAGTGCCTGATATTGACTGTGTTCAACATAAATTATTCTTCTCATTCTTTCCCTACCCTATCCTGTGTCTGTTTTGTGTCTTTGTTTATATATTATTTTTTCCTTTTATCTTCTTCTTTTTAATTTTCTTCCTATTCCTCCATCTTTCTAATTCAACTCTAAATTAATGGTACTATATACTGTGTTCTATTCTACTGTGTCCGGAATTGGTGGGTTCTTGGTCTCGCTGACTTCAAGAATGAAGCTGCGGACCCTCGTGGTGAGTATTACAGTTCTTAACCGCAGCAGGTCTGAAGTTATTTGTTTTTCCTGGTGAGTTCATGGTCTCACTGGCTTCAGGACTGAAGCTGCAGACCTTCGCAGTGAGTGTTACAGATCTTAAAGGCAGTGTCCACCCGAAAAGTGAGTAGCAGCAAGATTTATTGTGAAGAGTGAAAGAATAAAGCTCCCACAGTGTGGAAGGGGACCCAAGCGGGTTGCCCTTGGCTGGCTTGGGCAGCCTGCTTTTATTCCGTTATCTGGCCCCACCCACATCCTGCTGATTGGTCCATTTTACAGAGAGCTGATTGGTCCATTTTACAGAGAGCTGATTGGTCCATTTTACAGAGAGCTGACTGGACTGTTTTGACAGGGTGATGATTGGTGTGTTTACAATCCCTGAGCTAGACACAGAGTGCTAGACAGAAAAGTTCTCCAAGTCCCCACTAGGTTAGCTAGATACAGAGTACTGATTGGTGTATTTACAAACCCTGAGCTAGACACAGAGTGCTAGACAGAAAAGTTCTCCAAGTCCCCACTAGGTTAGCTAGATACAGAGTACCAACTGGTATATTTACAAACCCTGAGCTAGACACAGAGTGCTGATTGGTGCCGTTAAGATCCCTTAGCTAGACATAAAAGTTCTCCAAGTCCCCACTAGACCCAGGAGCCCACCTGACTTCACCTAGTGGATCCCACACTGGGGTTGCAGATGGAGCTGCCCACCAGTCCTGTGCAGTGAGCCCGCACTCCTCAGCCCTTGGGCGGTCCATGGGACTGGGCACTGTGGCGCAGGGGGTGGCACTCGTTGGGGAGGCTCCGGCTGTGCAGGACCCCAGAGTGTCAGGGGGAGTCTCGGGCATGGCGGGCTGCAGGTCCTGAGCCCTGCCCCACCGGGAGGCAGCTGAGGCCCAGTGAGAATTTGAGTGCCTGGCGGGCTGGCACTGCTGGCAGACCCAGCGCACCCTCTGCAGCTGCTGGCCCAGGAGCTAAGCCCCTCACTGTCTGGGGCTGGCGGCGCCCACTGGTGCTCCGAGTGCGCTGGCCGGTGAGCGCTGAGCGCTGCCTCGGTTCTCGCCGGCACCTCTCCCTCCACACATCCCCGCAAGCAGAGGGAGTGGGCTCTGTCCTTGGCCAGCCCAGAGAGGGCTCCCACAGTACCGTGGTGGGCTGAAGGGCTCCTCAAGCGCCACCAGAGTGGACGCCAAGGCAGAGGAGGCACCCAGAGTGAGGGCTGCTAGCATGTTGTCACCTCTCAATCCCCCCTCTAAACAAGACACCCCAACTGATGTTGGGAACTTGGCCGATGACCGCTCTAGCTGCTTCCTGCTGGATAGGGGCGATGAAGGGGCCCTGCAGTTGTAGTGTCCTCCAGAGGGGAGCTCTCTAGGCCAGTGAAAACGCCAATGGGTTGGTCCAGGGGTCCTTGGTAGAAGTTGTTAGTTGAGCTCATTTGGGGTTTCATTTGTAAGACCATCTGTAGCTTGATGGCCTCGATTCTAGAGGAAACAAATTTGACAAGAAAGGTAAAGATATAGGGCCCAAAGGTGAGTAACAGCAAAATGGCTGCCATGGGACCTAGAAAGGGGAAAAGCCATGCTGCCAATTCCAGAGGTTGGTATAAGAGTTTGAAAGGCGTCTGATTTTAGAAGTCTTTTCCTGTAAACGCCGGGTGGCATCTCGTACTATCCCTGAGGAACCTTAATTGCATATTTCTAAGTGAAAGAAGCCAGTCTGAAAAGGCTACATAGTGTATGATTCCAATAAGACATTCTAGAAAAGGGAAAACTAGGGAGACAGTAAAAAGTGGTTGCCAAAGAATGAGATCATGTCCTTTGCAGGAACAAGGATGGAGCTGGAAGCCATTATCCTTAACAACTATCACAGGAACAGGAAACCAAATATTGCATATTCTCACTTATAAGTGGGAGTGAAATAACATGGACACAAAAGAATAACATACTGGGGCCTACCCGAAGGTAGAAGGTGGGAAAAGGGACAGGACCAGAAAAATTACTATTGAGGACTAGGCTTAGTACCTGGGTCACTAAATAATCTGTATAACAAACCCCCTTGTCACGAGTTTACCTGCACATGTACCCCCTGAACCTAAAATAATTTTTTTAAAGTGGTTGCCAGGGGATTAGGAAAGAAAGGGATGAATAGGTGAAGCACAGAGAAGTTTTAGGGCAGTGAAACTATTCTGTATGATTCCATAATTGTAGATATCATTATACATTTGTCCAAGCCCATACAATGTACAATACCAAGAGTGAATCCTCATGTAAATTATGGACTTTGGGCAATAATGATGTGTCTGGTGTGGGATATTGATAGTAGTGGGAGGCTACGCATGTGTGAGGGCAGGGGATATATGAGAAATTTCTTTTTGTTCAATTTTGCTGTGAACCTACAACCGATTTTAAAAAAAAATTTTAAACTATACTCTAAAGATGAAATCAAGAGTAATAGGAGGGTCCTCTGGACTCAAGAATGACTTCTTTTTTTTTTTTTTTTGGTAGAGACAGGATCTTGCTATGTTGCCCAGGCTGGTCTTGAACTCCTATTCTCAAGAGAGCCTCCTGTGTCACTCTTGTAAAGCTCTGGGATTATATGCATGAACCACTGCACCCAGCCAAGATTGCCATTTTGTATGATAAGACTGGAAGGACCCTATTGTTTCAGGATTTTGCTATAATATATGAAAACCAATCTGTGAGACAGTGACTGGGCTTTTTTCCTGCCTGATTAGTTCAGTGCACATACAACTTGGACCAGAGGATCTGGGTTTGAATCCCAGCTCTGATACTTCCAAAACTGAGCTGTTTTCCTTATTTGTAAAGACTAAATGAGATCGCATATGTCGAAAAGCTCTGTAACCTCTCAACACATACAAAGTGCTACTGCTGAAATGATTTATAAATGTATCTCAAGAATGTCCCGGATGAGTGAATGTTGGTTAGGATGCATGACCACATCTTCGTGTGCTCCTGGTCAGCTCCTGACTTTGAGAAAACAAGGATAGGAAGGCCCATGTCCCATGCACAAGACAACCAGCTCAAAGCAGGGACAGGCACTGAGAGGTGAAAGAGACCTAGTCTTACAGCTTCTGATCTGGGTGCAACTTGCAATGGGAAGGAAGGGACAGAAGCTCTAAATAGACCCACATACACACCCTAGGACATACTACAGCCACCAGCCAACAGGAAAAACAGCACAATTCCCAAGCATCCTCTTGGTTAAATAGATAAAAGAATGGCTGCCACACCATGTCTGTGAAAGCTGGGGAGCAGCATCTGCAGAGCAGAAGTCATTTCTGCTGAGCTTCCAAATCCCATATGCCTGGCCATAGCAACTCTTTCCACGCCCAACAAATGAAGTAATCTGGGGAAGCCAACACCTGGAAAGTTTACTGCACAGGGCAATCTACAGTGGGGTCAAGTGCTAAAGCAAAAATTTATTAAAATTCATTTATATAGTGTTTTATAGACGAAAGTAGAGTTTTGGACATTCAAGCAATCACCTGTATTTTCAGAAGTGCTTCATGAGCAGATGGATTTCTCTCCCCTCCCCACAATAAGATATTTCTGTCTATACTCCTAAAAGTGATGCATTTATTTATGCCACCTTTACAAGAACAATCCCTTTGTGATCCCAAAACCTGGGCAGGGAGTGAAAAGAGACAAACAGAACCTTCTCCAAAATGGTAGTCCTCACAACAGAGATGTAGTGCAAGAGATACATAAAATGGCAGTTCTTGAGCGGAGTGTGAGCACACCCAGTGGGCTAGGCAGCCCCTAACTGCGGAGTGTGGCCAGCTGGGACTGCATGGCTTCCAGAGCCTCTTCCTCCTTCTCATCCTCTGAGGCAGCCATCGCTCCTGAAGGTTCTGCCTCTGGAAGGGCATCGGTCACTTTACTGGGTGCTTTGCCCAAGGCCCCTTCTGTAATTTCAAACAGAATTCTGTCAATTTCCATTTCTGCTTCTTCCTCCATTTCTTCCTGATCGTCCATGCTTTCAAAAGTGTCCTCTAACATCTCCTCTATGATTCCAGCCTTCATCATTTCTTTGGACAACTTCCTCATGGTGGCCTGAATTTCTGGAATCTTCACAAGATGTTGCATGGCCTTCATCACTTCTGTGCTCTTCTGCAGGGAACCAGCCACTCACAAGACAGCGAGCTGGTTCTTCATCCCCATCAGCACTGAGTTCATGTGTGCTTTGAATGCATACAGCTTGCTCACAGCCTTCCTTGACCTGATCACCTCCTTGGCCAGAACTACACAGATATCCTTCTGGCCCTTCTTGGCAGCATCTTTCACAGACCATTTCACTTTTTCTTTTTCTCTTTGGATATCGCTTATTTGCCTGTCCACAACTCTCATTTCCTTTCTTATCTTCAATGACCACTCATTGACTGGTTCTTTGGGAGACTTCTCCTGGGTTTTTCCAAACAGTCCCATGACGAATTGAACCCGTCTTGCCCCTTCTGGTGAGGGCTGCTAGCATGTTGTCACCTCTCAATACTACCTTTGTGCTCTTTTTCTTAATTAACAAATCCAATGCACAAAACATTTATTCCCTTCTATAAACACAAATCAAGTTGAATTACATTTGTGTGTGTGTGTGTGACAAGATCTCACTCTGTCACCAGAATGGAACAGCTCACTGCAGCCTCGACCTTCCAGGCTCAAACGACCCTCCCACCTCAGCCTCCTGAGTAGCAAGGAGTACAGGCGCGTGTCAAAATGTTTGGCTAATTTTTTATTTTTTGTGGAGATGAGGTTTCACTGTTACCTAGGTTGGTCTTGAACTCCTGAGCTCAAGCCATCCTCCTGCCTCAGCCTCACAAAATGTTGGGAATACAAACATGAGCCACCACACCTGGCCTAAATTCTTTTTGAAATCAGTTTGGTTGTTCCATTGATTTTCACATTTTGGGACATTGGCTCTTACCAGTAAAAATCTTCCATCTCTTCATTATGTAACTGTCCAATTTCTCATATGTTTTCTATTTCCACTTGTGACTTCTGATATATAGATGTGTCATCCCTGCTCAAATCTCATGTTGGAAATGCAATCCCCAATGTTGGAGGTAGGGCCTGATGGGAGGTGACTGAATTATGTGGGCTGATTTCTCATGATATGTTTAGTACCATCCCCTTGATACTGTCCTAGAGATAGTGAGTGAGTTCTCACAAGATTGGGTCATTTAAAAGTATGTGGCACCTCCCCCCTCTCTTCTGGCTCCTGCTTTCACCATGTGAGGCACAAGCTCCCGCTTGGCCTTCCTCAGTGATTGGAAGCTTTCAGAGGCCTCCCCAGAAGCAGCTGCTGCTATACTTCCTGTACAGCCTGTAGAACCGTGAGCCAACAAAACCTCTTCTTTTCTTATAAACTACTCAGTCTCAGATATTTCTGTATAGCAATGCCGGAATCAACTAATACAACTTCCTAAAGAGAAAATACTTTCTCATTCTAATTTAATATGCATTTGAGTTTATTTTACTTTTGATATCAAATCCTTAGTTATATGACAGAGCAATATGTTGGTCACTAAACAACACTGGTTTGTTTCCATTTTCATATCTTAAAAGAATCAATGTTGGAGGATTGACACAAAAGAAAAAGGTATTAAAAGCCAAGCACAGGGTCTAGGTAAAGTAGTTACTCAGTGGCTGGATGACAGGAAGGGAAGGGAGGTGGGGGAGGGGATAGGAGGGGAGGGGAGAAGGGAAGGGGAGGGGAGTGGAGAAGGAGAAGTGAAGGGAAAGGGAAGAGGGAAGGAGGGAAGAGAAGGGAGAGGGAGGAAAGGAGGGAAGGAATGAAGGAAGGGAGGGAGGAAGGGAGGAAAGGAGGAAGGAGGAAGGGAGGAAGGAGGGAGGGAAGGAAGGCAGGAAGGAAGGCAGGAAAGAAGAAAGGAAGAATGGAAGGTAGAAAGAAAATATAAATAAGAGCTGTTAATTTGGCAGGGTAAATAAACATGAAAGGAGTGAATAAAGATGACCTGTTGTGTGAAAACAGAGACAACCAGTCCCACTTACCTGAAACGTGGGCAAAGACCAGGGTGTGACAGGGGCAGGGTGGAGAACAAATAGCATTTGAGGTCGCAGAGTAGATCATAGTCTCTACATGAAGAGGATCACTATCAAACTTCTGAAACCATCTACACTTGTCATTTCCAGGTTATTTATAGGTTTTGGAAAAGAAACACGATGTGAAGGAAAAGCCAAATAACTTAAAAACATTATTATGCAGTAACTGTGCAAAATGGTTTGAAGTACAACATAACAGTCACAGTTGAATGATAGTCATAGTTGAAAATCTCAGCTAACAATACTCTGGAAACTTTTTATTGCAGTAAATTATTTTTTAAGATTTTGAGAGAGTGCATTTTTGTTCTATAGCTTATTGTTTGAGCATTCGATGGAGCTAGTTTATTTTATTTTCTATGGCACACACTCCTCTGTGGGGGCCTGCAGCACCCTAAGCCATAGAAAAGGGAAGGGCAGAACTGTTCATCCTACAACGGCAATAACGTTTATTTCTTTTAAGGACCTCTTTATCTGATCTTCCCATATTTAGTAATCCATGGAATAATAGACTGAGAAGCATTAATAACACTGACAGGTTTATGTAGCAGTGCCTGAAGGTGGAAAAAGAAAAGAAATTGGGATATAGTGTGCATTTTAGCCATATCAGATGGAGCTTTTCATCTGAAATATTTAGACAGGTTTTTTTTGTTGTTGTTTGTTTGTTTGTTTGTTTTTAAATGTACTCCTGACTGTTGCAAAAACTAATTTCCACTTTATGGAACTTGTGACTTGATCTGTCTCTGGTCTGTGTGGCAGGCTTGGGTATATTCTGGCATCATCAACTGGCTTTGAAACCTAGAGTAAACATTTCTTTTGCTCATTTCTTGAGCAAAATGGATGCAGGGGTATAGGGTCTGCCTTATTTCAATAAAGTACATACCTTCTATTTCCTCTTGTCTGTGTAGGAAATCTGGTAGCCATCATTCAAAGAGCATTTGAGTGGAATTCAGAGGAGAGCTCAAATGAGTTTACCCCACAGCTCAGGAGCAACTCACTCAGTGATAGCACTGTAGTGTGCAGCACCCAGTTTTTTGGAGCCCAGAAAGAGTAGCTCTGATTCTTAGGCCTCCAGTACACAATGTTTATTTAAAGAGACTTGTAGTCCATGATGTGTTTCTTTCTGAAATGAAAATAGAGATACATTATTATCTGGTGATTCATAGAACCATGAAGTTTCTTAATTTCTTTTTTTTTTTTTTTTTTTTTTTAAGATGGAGTCTCACTCTGTCACCCAGGCTGGAGTACAGTGGTGCAATCTCAGCTCACTGTAACCTCCACATTCCGGGTTCAAGTGATTCTCTTGACTCAGCCTCCCAAAGAACTGGGACTACAGGCACCTACTGCCGCACCTGGCTAAATTTTGTATTTTAGTACAGACAGGGTTTCACGGTTGCCCAGGCTGGTGGCATTCTGCCCACCTCGGCCTCCCAAAGTGCTGGGATTACAGGCATGAGCCACTGCACCTGGCCTCTCTTAAATTTTTTTTTTCTGAGACAGAATCTTGCTCTGTCACCCAGGCTGGAGTGCAGTGGTGCCATATCGGCTCACTGCAAGCTCTGCCTCCCAGGTTCATGCCATTCTCCTGCCTTGGCCTCCCAAGTAGCTGGGACTACAGGTGCCCACCACCACACCTGGCTAATTTTTTGTGTTTTTAGTAGAGATAGGGTTTCACTGTGTTAGCCAGGATGGTCTCGATCTCCTGACCTCATGATCTGCCTGCCTCAGCATCCCAAAGTGCTGGAATTACAGGCGTGAGCCACTGCGCCTGGCCTCTTAAATTTTTTTTAACCCGAAAGTACTTTTGTTTTACCTTCACTTTTGAAGGTTATTTTTTACTAGCTATCAAATTTTAGTTTGTTACCTGTTTTCTGCCAGCAACTTAAAGAGGTCTCTATTAGTCAGTATTCTCTAGAGGGACAGAACTAATAGGAGATATATATATTTTCTGACAAGCTGAGTATATTAAGTATTAACTCACATGATCACAAGGTCCCACAATAGGCTGCCTACAAGTTGAGGAGCAAGGAGAGCCAGTCCGAGTTCCAAAAATGAAGAACTTGGAGCCTGATGTTCAAGGGCAGGAAGCATCCAGCATGGGAGAAAGAAGTAGGCTGGGAGGCTAGGCCAGTCTAGTCTTTTCACATTTTTCTGCCTGCTTTATATTCTAGCCATGCTGGCAGCTGATTAAATGGTGCCCACCCAGATTAACAGTGGCTCTGCCTTTCCTAGCCCACTGACTCAAATGTTAGTCTCTTTTGGCGACACCCTCACAGACACACCCAGGATCAACACTTTGCATCCTTCAATCCAATCAAGTTGACACTTGGTATTAACCATCACAAGGTCATTCCATAGTTTTTGGCTTTTGTCATTGCTGAAAAGTTGGTGTAAGGTAAATTATTGCTGCTTTGAAGGTAATATGTCTTTTTTTCAGATTATTTTTTAAAAATTTATCTTTGACTTTTTTTCCCCAGAAATTTGCAGTGTTTTTTCTTCTTCTTGTATTTATCCTGCTTCAGTTTTAAAGTGCTTGATGTGAATTAATACGTGTTAATAGTTTTGAAAATGCTCAGTCAGTACTCAACAACATTCTCTGTTCTCTCTTCTTTTGGAACTCAGATTATGTTTAAATTGGACAGATTTAACATTTCCTCTCTCTCTTATGCTCTTTAATAATTTTTCTCTTCTCCATTCTCTTCATATTTTTAATCTTCTATACCTTTTGTTTTTTAAAGCTACTGTCAAATACATTTATTTGAGTTCATATTTTTAATTATTAAATTTTGCATTCTAAATTTTTTGTTATTTTAAATAGAGTTTCATTCTTTGGTGAGATTCTTGCTATGTTGTAAATATTTTAAAATCTAGGCCCAATAATTCCAAATTCTAAAACCTGTGTACATGTTTCTATTATTCTTTTCTTCTCTTTTTGATCATTTAGTTCTGTTTTTTGATGTAACTAATAATTTTGATTAAATGATAAAAATGTATACAAAACTTTTAATAGATAATTTAAGGCTCTGGCTACTCATGTTTTCCTTCAGCATTTACTTTTGCCTTCTAGCAGGCAGTTAAAGGAGAATAGAACACTTTAAACCAAGTGGGAATTAAGCTGATTTAAAGTTGGTTTTCAATCACTGTGAAAATTGAGCTATCTTTTTTTTCACGTTTGTTGGTTACATGAATGTCTTCTTTTGAGAAGTGTCTGTTCATGTCCTTTGCCCACCTTTTAATGGGGTTATCTTTTTCTTATAAATTTGTTTAAGTTCATTGGAGATTCTGGATATTAGACCTTTGTTAGATGGATAGATTGCAAAAAATTTCCCCACTCTGTAGGGTGCATGTTTGCTTTGATGATTTTTTCTTTT